TCTTATGCGCCGGCCTCCCTTAAGCCCCAGAAAGATTACTGGTATTCATTTCTGTTAGAGGCTGAGTCGACCCCAGTGCCATAGTGAGGCTGGAAGGATGAGATCAATTGAGAATCGCAATGACCTCACCGGGAATCGAACCCGCGACATTCCGGCTTGTAGCATAATGCCTCAAAAAACTGTGCTACCGCGTGTCTCCATATCAAATTCACCTGCAGACTGTAGATGCCGCAAAAAATAAATAAGGAAAGAAAAGTCGGTACCTGTACGAAATAAAACGTCTGTCTCCTGAAGATCTGAAACTTTATTTGAAATATTTTTTGGTATTGTGTATATTTAATTAAATTTAAAGAAAGCATTTCACGCCTGTATTCAGGGTTAACTGTAAACTGTTCGTCAGCTTCAGAAATTACGCAGTTATGGATCTTTTGCAGTGATGCATTTATACCGTTAATGACCTCCGTGGCCTGTAGTCCGCAAGCGAACTATACCGATCGAATGATCGCCGCTTGTCGGAGAAGTTAGTGCCAACTTTTGCGGATAGAGGGTGTCATGTGGTCAGCGCAACGGATCCCCACGGTCGTTTATCTCGGTTTTCTACACCGGAGCCTCTGTTTCCTTGAAATAGCTCCTCAGTTATCCTCACGAGGCTGAGTGGACCCCGTTCTACACCAACTACTTCTCAGAAAATCCGGTAGAGCCGGGAATCGCACCCGAGTCCTCTGGATCTGTAGCCAGGGACTCTGACCACTAGACCACTGAGGCGGTCATGTCGTTAATTAGGTTCGCATTAATATATTTGTACCTGCAACAAGTGATCATGAAGGTCAATTGTGAAAGAAAAATCACAAATAACAGCTCAGAAATCTTGTTTTTGTGGGTCAATTAACCAAACTATGCATCACATGATAATACGAATGCATCAAGGCCAATGATCATTTTCAGTCTGGTTACCTGACTGCGGCCACGAGTTTCCGCTAAAGAGGGCAAGGTGATGCAGTTAACATTCAGTCACGCATCAATGAGGCGAATACATTACTGGGATTCCCCGGCAAGGAGCCAAACTGCCGTGCGTTGCACGTAAATCACGAGCGTGTCTCGATTGCGTCATCTACAGTTAATAACTCCAAGCAGGCAAAATATTAAGGAGAGTTCTATTCGTATCTTCTGGAATATATTGCTAGTGGGGGTGGGAGTAAGTCCCTTGTGCTGCGGCCACTTCTGACCTATTTTACCAACCACAGATGATAGGTGAGGTTGATTGTGGAGCAATTGGTGGAATAAAGATTGGCAGGTGAACCCGAAGTACTCGGAGAAAACCTACCCCAGCGCCACTTTGTCCACCACAAATCCCACTTGACCAGACCCGGGATCGAACCCGGGCCGCCGCGATGGGAACCCAGCGACTAACTGCTTGAGCTATGTCGCGGTAGGATTCTCCTACCTCACTTCTTTAAGATATATTTTTTATATTAGTCTCTCATCTAGGCCTAGGTCTCCCACGTTATCTCTTTCCTTCAGGATTTCCAACGAAACTCTTGCAGACTTTTCTTGCCACTTCTGTGCGTTCCACCCATGCTCTCCTCCACTGTTTGGCCGCCTTAATAACATCTCGCAAAAACTGCGAATTATATGATATTCATCATTAAGCAGTTCCCTTCATTCCCCTACTTCTTCTTTCATAAACCAATTATTAATCCGAACGCCCTCAATCATCGTCATCATTGGCCTTTGGGGTGTTAAATATACATATATAAATAAATTACAGAATTGGATTGAACTGAACTACTACTACTACTACTACTACTACTACTACTACTGGGGCAGCGGTAGCGTAGTTGGTAGAGGCACTAAGTTTCAAGCCGAAAGATCAATAAAGTCCTGCATTTCATTCGAAGTGTAGGATTAATAAACGGTTAATCCAAAGGGGAAGCACAATAGATCATTGAAGGTCGCAGTGCGAGGGCCGAATTTTATGGCCCACCCCTTACACACATACAAGCCGGAATATCGCGAGTTCTTTTCCCGATGAGGTCATTGGATTTATTTCAATTTACCTAATTTTTCCAGCCGCAATGTGGGCCTGGGTTCGACTTAGCCTCTAACAGAAATGAGTACCAGGAATCTTCCTGGGGGGTAAAGGGTGGCCGGAGCATAATGCTGACAACCTCACTGTCATCTGGGAGCCGATTGTCTAGAAAATGTAGGAGCCACGACGTCTCACAAAGATGTGGGGCCTTCACGGTTTGTTACAGGGATGGTTTTACCTCTCTATTATTACTAGTAGTAACAAAATGTACCTTAGTAAAATTACAGTCAACAGATACTGTATATATGTGACTGTGCAGCACGCGTTTTCTCGCTTTCTTCTCGTATTGCTTTACTAAGTACATAAAATACACTAACTCTTGCTGCGTGCTAGTTCATTCGCTTTATCAATTTCACTACATCCTTCTGCCGCTCATTTGTCAGCAGCTTATTAGAGCGATTACAGTGAAGTGCAGTATACGAGCAGGTCGGATAACACAATCTAATAATGTAAATTACCACATATTTTGCAAGGATTGTATTAAAAACAAGTAACAAATCTATAATGATGTATATAGGTAAACAAGTAATCGATAAAATGAAAATGGTTATTAATGAGTTACGTCCGAAACAATTACTCACCAGCCATTTAAGTAATTGGAATAATAATAATAAATCCGTTCTTCCTCCTTACTCTCTGAAAATGGAAGATTCACATTCCGTCATTGGATCACTTACAAGACTTCCTTCAATTCGTATCGTATTAGGCGATCTTTCGCCAAATGGAACGCATGCAGGAAAGCGTTGTTCCTCAGGCCGCCTGAACACGAAAGTAAAGGTAAAACTATCCCTGTTAACAGGCCGTGAAGGCCCATAGGGTTGTGAGACGTCTAGGGTCCCCACATTTTCTAGGAAAATCGGCTCATAGATGGCGGTGAGGTTGTCAGTCAGCAAGAAATTAGCATCAATAATAATAAAAATAAAGCGGAATTCATTTGTAGAGTTTTCCCACTCAAACGGCGGAGCGTATAAAGTGTAACAGCAAGGAACCGACCATGTTCGCGTTCTTATTTTGTATTCGGGAAGTACCGGGTTGAAATATGCGCAAGTCATGAGAACAACGTTTTCGTGGCTGTCTTTTCTCCGTCCATTCAAATCCTGGATCATGCTTTAAATTAAGCCAGAAAACCTTCCTTCCGCACTTTTAATATATCTCTCGTGTGAAAATAGTGGGTTTCCCCTCGAATTTATTCTCATGCCATTTTACACTTTGACAAGTATTTCAAGACGTACCGGTTTGAGGATTTAGAGATGAAGTTGAGACAGGTGTAAAAAAAAACCCTGATGATGACGCGCCTATAAAATCCACGTAGACAAAGATGCTTCTTTCCACATCTCTTCAAATTCGTTACTCGTTGTTCACACTCTTCATTTGATGCTGTTCAAAGCGCTGCTAATTTAACCAAGAATAAATAAAGACAGCGTGTATTGAGTGTTTTACTGTGTTGCAGACCCTGCAGGATGATCTGACTGGTGCAGCTTTTCACCCTCTGGACGACAATCTACTTATCACACACGGAAAGGGACATCTCACGTTCTGGACGCGTCGTAAGGACGGATTCTTCGAGAGAACTGATATCATAAAACCGGTTCGTTCCATGTCCACAATAACATTTAATTTAAACTGCTCTTTTAGCCTCCATTGTGTCCCTGAACATTTTAAAGTAGAGTGATTAATGTCTATTGTCTGATTGACTAGTGACTGATATTATATTATTCTTTCTTTAATTTCAGTATCAGTGGTAACATTTGCAAATCAAACACGTGACCTAGGAAATACTAGACTCATAAGTTAACCACTACAGCCAACTCCGCCGGTCACGGTGGCCGAGCTGTCTAAGGAATGCACTGTCTTCTCTCGCGCAGAAGTATGGATCGTGGGTTCGAATCCCACATAAGTCATGGATGTTTGGTGTGTGTATGCGTGTATTCTGTGTTTGTGTTGTCGTTTGTGTACGTAGTGGCCTTGCGACGAGCTGATCATCCGTCCAAGGAGTCCTACCGTCTGTAGAATGATTACGAAACTGAAAATCATCCCTGTGCTCCGAAGTGGGAGCGAGAGGAGGGGGAAAAGACAGCCAACGCCTGAAATATTCTTCCACAGATAATGTTCGGGATAAAAGTAAAGTAAAGCTATCCCTGTAACAGGCCGTGAAGGCTCATAGGATTGTGAGATGTTGAGGGTCCCACATTTTCTAGACAATCGGCTCAAAGATGACGGTAAGGTTGTCAGCCTTACGCGCCGGCC